TTTTCAGTGTGTGCCTCTGGGGCCCCTCGCCGGGCTCTGGAACGTCCAAACACGCTCAGGATGATGATCAGTCTCCAGAGAAGCGTTCGCGAATTTTGAGGGTCAGCGTTGTTAAACAAGTTGCATCGGTGGTGTGAGTCGCCATCCCGACGTTCCCCTGACGTCCGACGTCGCGATCTGTTCCGCGACGTGGATCCCAAGAGGTTTGGAGGCTCGTCATCTTGAGTCGTTTCGTGGGCGGTCTTCTGGGGCAGGTGGGGGCCTCCGGAAGTGAGACTTGCCCCCAAAAGTGCCCGTGGTGAGGACGTCGGGGCCCCTCCCCTTCCCATCCACATCTCCTCCTCATCCCCCCCTCCCCCACGTCATCCCCCATCCCCGCTTCCCCTCTTCATTCCTCCCTCCCTTCCCCCCCGTGCCCCCCCCATCCCGTGCTCATTCCCCCTCCCTCTCCTCATCGCCGCCCCCCCTCATCCGCCCCCCCCTCTTCATCCCCCCTATCCGCCCTCATCCCTCTCCTGACTCCCTCTCCCCGCATCATCCCCCCTTCCCTTCCTTCCCCCCCGCCCCTCCTCATCCTCCCTGTCCGCCTTCCTCCGTCCCCTCACCCTCCCCTCCCCTCCTCGTCCCCCCGTTCCCCTCCTCCTCTGTTCCCCCCCTCCCCCTCCTCGTAGCTTTGCTTTCCCTCCCCTCATCCTGGCATCGCTCGGACGTGTGCATTTCTTTCTCGGCGAGGACCCTGGAGGAGCATCATGGATCATCGAGCAAACAAAAGCACGCACGAAACCGAACAATGCACAGGGAATGTCGGAAGCCGGGCGATGGCTGCTAGATCCGTGGCTGCTAAAATCGACCTTCGGGAAGTTGTATTCGTCCTTCCGGGAAGAAGCCCGTTGACTGTTTCGCGTGCCGCGCTTCATTCCGGGAAGTTGCTTCTTCCTTCCAGGAGGGCCGTTTCAGCAGCCACGGTTTTAGCAGCCCTCGCCCGGCTTCCTGGAATGGACGTCCGAGCGATGGCCAGTCGTCCGCCCTCCCCTCCTCCCGCCCTCCCCCCCCGCCTCGAAGCGCACCTCTTCCGGTCGAAGCTATGAGCAAACGACAACACGCACGAAACCGAAACATGCGCAGGGAGTGGACGTCCGAGCGATGGCCAGTCGTCCGCCCTCCCCTCCTCCCGCCCTCCCCCCCCGCCTCGGGTCGGCAGACGCCCGGCCCGCCGGGGCCCCGCCGCGCGCAGACCCCGCACGCCTGGCCTCTCTTAGAGAGGGCTCCTTGGCGGGCGCGGCCTACAAGGGGGGGGGGGCCTGGCACCGCTCGGGGGCAGGAGTCATCCTTCCTCCCGCCCCCCCCCCCTCTTTCGTCAAGGGATGGAAAAACGGCCCTACCCTGAGTTACCAGTAAGTGGGTCTGTAAACCTCCCCCCGCCGCCTAGAGAGCCGCCAGGACGCCGCACATCACGCAGGGTTTACCCTGTCAGCCCACAGGAGGTTCAGCGCACAGCGCCTCGTAAACCAGGGTAGGGGCGTTTTGTACGCCCTTGATTTCGTCGTTTCAAAGATCCTTCAAGGTTCGAACGATCGGCACGTTGGTCATCGTCCAGCTGGTAGTCAGAAACTGGAGCATGTACATTACCAGTGGCGGGCCGCTTCTTTTCAATCCCAGGATTTTTGTTGCAGGGTTGTGGACTACATCGGGGTGGTGTGGTGTAAACGTTTTCCCCGCTTTCCCCAGGAAGCAACGAAAAATGTATACACCAGGATCCCGTATACACCAGGATCCGCTTTCTTGTGCGAGTTCCAGTGCGGGGCCGGAAAAAGCGTCGGTGTATAGAGTTCGGCTCCTTAGGCAGAGCAGATCAGATCTCCGCGAGCCGTCTCGGTATCGAAGCCCCCAATTCTCCCCATCTATTCCCTCTCGTCCTATTCCAGAAATTCGACACAGCATCAACACATACATGCCAGTCGTTGAAAGTAGGTATTTCTGGACTCCCAGATTCCAGTCTGCTTCAAGCGCCTTCCTACTCTGGTTGCTGTGTCCCGCATGCTTTTGCTGTGTCTTGCTATTCTCTGGGAGGGCCTGGACCCAGTCCACTGTATCCGCCTTCCTACTTCATGGTTTGACCTGCTTCTCCCGACCGACGTGCAGTAGGCAGTCCGCGCAGACTTGTCGGGGCGTGCCGGACAGGAGGTCCCGACCCGCCTCGCCCGCCCAGGCTGCCGCGGCCACCGGGCCCGAGCAGTCCCGGATGATCCCTGCTTGGCATCGCTCGGACGTGTGCATTTTTCTTTCGGCGAGGACCCTCGAGGAGCATCCTTGATCAGTTGGCGAAAAAAGCACGCACGAGATCGAAACAAGCACAGGGAATGGACGTCCGAGCGATGGCCAGCCTGGGAATCCCGCCCCGCCGAGCCCAGCATCGGGGGCGGCAGAGAGGGGGGGGGGACTAGGGGACGATTGGATATATCATGGCGGGGGCCATGATATTTCCCCAGATTTCATGGCGCCCCTTCCTATTTCACTACGTTCCCGGCTCCCCCGCTGGGCCGCGCACACGCCGCCGGTCACGAGTTGCACCCCCCCCTCTTTGACGCCCCCCTCCTTGACGCTCCCGACAGCAGGGAGGCAGCACGGAGTCGTGCCCCGCCGCTCCCGCCCAGCACACCGCGGCCGCCAGGCCCCAAGAGTCCCAGAAGGGATCCTTGAGAGGGCGGCACCGCTCGGGGGCAGGACTCCCCCCTCCCCCCCCCCCAGATCTCCGACGATGTGCGCTTTCTTCCGTCCGGGCGTCTCTTGCTGGTTCGGGTCCGATCTCCGGGGCTCGTTTGCGGACCCGGGGCCGTCAAGAATAGACCAGGGCAACAAAAGCGAACCTTGGTGAAGGGGTCGGGACCCCTTGGGCCGCGCCTGGAATAATCAGATCGGCGGATGTCTGGGTGTCTCGCCATGACAAACATATAAAGTCAAAGACAACAAGGGACCAAGGACGTTTGGGACCTATGGGAATCTGAGCCGACTGATTCTTGAGTTCCTCGGACCATTCCTCAATCAGGATCTTCCCCCTGTTCGCCCTCCAGATACTCCTTGTCCATGCGGATGGCGGCGGCGACGGCGGTCGCGGCGGCGACGGTGTGAAACGAACGAGAAAAAGTAAGACGGCGGGCATAGGGAGGAAAGGGATGATTTCCAGGATGCCACGCGCAACGATGCGATGATTGCTACGGGTGCAATGCTCAGAGATGTTTCACGCGGTGCCGCGCGCCCCCTGCTACGCCCCACGCAGTGGCGTGCCCATTTGCACATGATGCCTCGTCCCTCTGAGGTTCACATGTTCTTCCCCACCCGTCAGGTTGGGGTTGTTAGATTTCAAAAACAGGCCCCCCCCCCCGGCCAGCCCCACCCTGCATACCGCGGCCGCCAGCAATCCAGGGGAGGTCCGAGCACCGATGTGTCGCCCAAGCCGCTTCGTGACAACTGGGCATGTGGCCCATCCCCATCGGTTCACGCACCGTGAAGGAAGGAGCAACGGTCGCAGCAGGCACAGTTCCCAGAAGAGCAAGCGCCGGCCAATGCGGAATTGTGAGTTTGCGTCTCTTGTGCACCAGCTGTTTCTGGGCCAACCCGCACAAGGGCGCATCCAGCACCTTCGCCCCCTACGTTCAGGTGACCCTGCACCGGTTTCGAAGGTGTTGCGTGTTGCAGAAGGAGTTGGACCACATCGCGTCGCAGGCCGGCAGCACGCAACCCAAGCACGACAAAACAGTGGAGCAGGCTCGCACTGCAGCGAAGTACTTTTCGGACCGCGGGGACGGGCTCGACAAGCTCAACGCGAAACGGAAAGGGCAGCCGACCGTGCAGCCAGCGCCATCGCCGCCGTCGGACTTGCAGCTGAAGGAATCAGACGTGCAATCCAAGAGGCAAGTTCAGGACGCGACATTGCCGCCCACCTTCTTGAACATACCCACCAGCTTGGCTCCCCCGCGTTCGCGGCGAAGTTGGCCAGCATCCTCGCGGAGGCGCAGGCTACCACGGCGGCCAGCCAGATGCGGTGCCAGGAGCAGCGAGAGGGCCAGCAACGCGAGCAGCAGCGCTCCGCCCCCAGTCGCCGCCCAGAGCGCCTCAGGCGCAGTTGCCGCCACGACGTGAGAAGCTGGCCCCTCAGCTGCTCCACCGCCTGCTGCTGGCAATCATCATCGCGGTGGTGCCCCTGCGCAGTTCAGCCCAGACGCTGAAGCCAGTCGCCGGGCAGATCGGTGCCGTGAGCGACTCTCGGAGCCGATGCGCCAGGCACTCGACGACGATGGCATGGGCGGCGTCTCAGACCATGTCCAAGAAATCAAGCATCGAGCCATGGAAATGGTTGGCAAGGCCATCCACGCGCTAGAGGAGCCGAAATTGGGAGACACATGGGTTCACTGGCGTTGGGGTGGCCAGGCCAACGCAAGGCGAGCACAGATCATCATGCCGAGCGTCACCAGCCAGCCTCGGCTTGAGTTGTTGCGAAATTTTGACGCTTGGGAGACCTGCGTTCTTATCGTGGTGTAGCAATATAAGCTGGAAGCGCATGTGTAAAGGTCTAGTAATAGATGTTGGAAGGGCAGCCTGGCCGCTTTTGCCCTGCAGCACGGCCGCGAGTCCGGCAGCCGAAGAGTGGCCGATCTCAAAGAAGGCGCGACGATTGCCGAGCCCGCGCGCCACGGCAGCGCGCGTCGAGCGCCGCCAGCGCCGGTGGAAGCGCCAGCTTTCTCACGCTGCTTGGCTCACGGAGTCAATTGTGGGATGGTGTCTGGCACGACGTATCTTGAACGATCGGGGGACACGTGTGACAAGTTCGTCTTTCGTGGCCTTCCCGTTCATATTCAACGCGGACTGGCAAGTCACGCCGCGCGAGTTGAAAGAGTCCGATCGGTGGACGACGCGGAAGCGCATTGCCCGAGCAAGGCGCGGTCAGACCATCACGGGGCGCGATTGGTCTCTTCGCGGCCTGCACGTTCCTGGCCCAGGGGGGCGCTTCGCGCGAGTTCCCCCGGCGTCTGCCCAATGGTCTGGCCGGGGAAGTCCAAGTGCCCGACTGGCGCCCATTCGAGCAGCTGCCAAGGGCGCAGCAGGCAACGACAGTTGGGCATCATTCGTTAAGGCTGCAGAGGCCAGGTGGGCCAACCGGCCCGACGTGGACCCCGTTGAGGCCCCCGAGCTTCGCGGCAGAGCGCGGCGGCCCACCCAGGGGTTCGCGCGCCCGCGCGAGCTTGTTCAGCGCCTTTTCTTCGCCCTCATCCCAGAGGCGGCGCGGCGGCAGGGGCCCAGCCGCAACCTCCCGGAAGTCGAGCAGCGCACAGGCGGTTCGGCGGCAGTCTCTCGGCGCAAACGCATCTCGAGAACTCGTCGGTCGGCGAGTTTCCCGCGCCGATGCCCCGCCGCCGCCGCAGTCGGCCGACCCCTCGCCCTGGGGTCAGCGCGCCTTGCGCAGCTCAGTAGCGCGAAATTCCTCGCGCGGAGACGATCTCGACTGGCCGCGCAGGCCGGCCGGCGAGCCGAAGGGAAAGACTGGGAGGGTCGGGTGGATCAGCGCACCGGTGTCCAGGGGGCCTCTACTTAAGTCGCTCCGTTTCACCGAGGCCCCTGTTCGACGGGCCCCTGGCAAGGATGCTGTTGACTTCGCGCCTATGGGCGCTGCTGAACAGATCCAGCAGTCGCAGCAGGGGCGGGGGCCCGGGAGGGCCGTCCCCCCTGATTTGGCGTGGCCATTCGAGTTTGGAAGTGCCCTCGCATGCCTTCGGTCGCCCACCGGGCTCTAGTTTTGAAGACGTTCGAGCCGCCCGCGGGGCAAGGGCGCGATTGCGTCAACCCGATGTATACATATATATATATATATATATATATATATGTATTTATATATATACATATGTATCTGCATCTGTACCCGGGCTTCGGGAGGCTGAGCTTTCGCGCGCGAGCTTTTGCGTCGGATCGAGCTGCGGCGCGGGTGGCCGACCACGCGGATGAACGAGTCTTCTGCGCGAGAGTCCAGGCGGCAACCGAATTTGCCCCCTTGCACGCGCTGGCTCGCGCACGGCAGCGTCGCAACTACAGGTGTCCTGCTCGAGGCTCGCGACGCGGGGCCGCCGGCTAGCGCGCCCGGGCGCGGGCGGCTTGGGCCGAGCGGGCCCGCGTTCAGCGGGGCGCGTCGGGGGTCGCCGCGGTTGATCTCGAGAAAGCGTTCGAAGGTTCGGGGCGCCATCGCGTCATCGTGGCGCGGCGTCGCGCGGGCTGTCCCAGGCGCGCGCTGTCGTTGGCCATTCGTCATTCCGTTGCACCAGCAGCCTCGCTTCGCATGCTAGACGTGGGCGCCCGCGCCTCCACTCGAGTCGTTTTCCCCGTTTCGCGTTTGCACGGTGGTCTTGCAATTTGGCTTTTCGGGCCATTGGGCGCTTTTCGGATAGCCCAGCCATCGGTTGCCCTGTCCGCGGTCTCGGGCGAGGTCGGGTTGCGTCCTTCTTGGGCCGAGGATAGAGCCGCTTGCGCGCTGGCCATGGCAGGCGAAGTCCCGGCCGCCCAACTGAGCCACGAGGGTTTGTTCCTGACCAAAGAGGAGGCCAGACTTCTCGGAGACTTAAAAGGAAGCGTCTCGGAGCGCGCGCGGGCCGCTCAGGCAGCTGCCCGGCGCGCGCCGAAGGGGCGCCGGCGGTGGATTTCGACCCGGGACGTTGGGCGGGGGCGGGCGCGATGCGAGAGCGGCCCGCCGCTGCCTTAGCGAGGGGCCGCCGGAACAAAGCCCCGAGGAAAGCTCGGCGCCGCAAAGTGGAGACAAGGGTTGTCGAACAACGATGGTTGAGACTAGCGTTCCGCACGGTGGCGGCGCCTGGCTCGAGCGATCACGAGCTGCGCAGGTTTCGGGTGCCCGCTGTCATTTCAATCGGCGCCTCGCCGCCTCGCCCTCCCACGCCCTCCGCCTCATCGTGGGCCCCGGCAAAAGAGTTGGCGTTTTTTTTTTGCCGCCGCCGCCCCCGCCCGCGCCGCGATGGCAGCGCGGAAACAAGGCAGGACTCGCCAGCGTCTCACGCGCGAAGGCTTAGAGCATGCGCGTGAGCACGCTTGCAATGGAAGAGGCACGCCATGGCAGAAACACGCGTGCCCTGTTTGATCGGCAATGATGCGATCGCGCCCCAGCGGCCTGGCATTGATTTCGAATGTGTCTCGAAATTGCGATTGTCTTGGCCTCGAGGCTGCGCCCGCCAAGTTGCGCCGGCATTTGGTCTGGCGCACGCCCGGTGCTCTACAAAGCTTGCGGGACAATGGAGTGGAAGCAGGGTAGCGCGACTCTGAATGTACCAGAGCTGTCTCAAGGTTGCCGAATTGAGCCTTTCCTTTCCCTCCTCGAGCTCCCTCCCCGTCGCCCCCGATGAAGATGCACACCTGCGACCGGCTCCGCTTGGAGCGAAAGGGCCCAGAATGGGCAGCTCAAGGCCGACCTGGCTGCGAGCGCGGGGCGAAGTAACGCGGGCAGCTGAGGCCATTGCCGCTGCCGCCGCCGCTGTCGCCCCCTGCCCCGCCTCTTCCAAAGCCTGGAGAGATCGCGCGCGTGTCGTGGTTGGGGGGCGCAGGTTCCGCAGTTGGGTCAGCGCTGATGGTTTCGTGCGCGGCGTTGTGTGTTGTGCCTCTTGCGGGGCGAGTGCATGTGGTGATGGCCAGGTGGCCAGGTGCCCAAGATCGGTCCCACGTGCTCCCAGCCCTACGCCTAGGGCAAGAGGGTGCTCGCGGGGTGCGACAATGGTCGAGCCAAGCCTTGAGGCAAGCGGACCTTCGGTGCGATACGGGCATTTGATCCCCCAGTTTCTGCAAGCTCACAGGTGGTGCGGCCGTGAGCAGAGCAGCGCGGGGTCAGTCGCGTGACTTTCCCGTGAATAAGGTGAGCTTCCAGGAATGGAAGGGGAGAGGGTAGGGGGAGGGAAGAAATCAGGGATCAGGCATTTCAGCGTTTGCGGGGGGGGGGGGGGGCGGGGTCGGGGGTTGAGGAGCGAGGGCGAAGGTGGAGGGAGAGGGGGTGATAGCAGGGAATAGGGAGGAGAGAGAAAGGACGGAATGAGGAGAGATAGCCGTTATCTCATTGGGAGGAGGCCCTCCGCGAACGCCCTCGAAGACCCGAGCCGGGAACGCCCCAGAGTCTAGAGTCATGTCCATTTCCGCTCGTCCATCCTCAATCTTCATGCTCCTGAAGCCCAGCCCCTGCCTGAGCCGGCCCCCCCCCCTGTTTCGATGCCGCACCCTCCGGAGGGCTGCGGCGCGCGCGCGCGAGACGGACCGTGGCCCCTTTGTTGCCCCCTGTCGGGGCGAATCGCTGGCGCGTGCAAGGCGGCCCGCTCACAGAAAGGTGCCCCCCGTCGCCGCCGCTTTCCTCCTGCTCTGACGAACCAACAACACACCCATACCCATAGGGGGATCGAAGAGGGCTATGGGTGCGTGTTGTCGGATGGGGGTCCCCGCTCGAACGGGAGCGTTCCCCAGGGTCCGACAACCCGCACCCATACCCATAGCCAGTCCTCCTCCCAACGACCTCCCTATGGGTGTGGGTGTGTGTTGTTCGTTCCTCTTGTTCCATCACCCAGGTCACCCGCGGGGACGCGAAGATATTCGCGCGTCGCGGTTCGGGCCAGGGCGGCCACCCCTCTCCAAGGGGGCGGAGGCGCGAATTGACTCGCGCGTCGCGCATCGCGGGGCACGGTACGGGTACTTAGATGGCCTAGATAATTGTCCTCCTCCCACCTTGTCACCCTACGCCCAGTCGCTCCCCCCGGTTCGGATGCACCCTATTGGAAGTCAAATCAGGTTTTGCGCTGCAATATTTTTCATCGAAGACAAGCCTAGTCCGGCCTGCTCAGGTAAATCCAGTTTCATCGGGTTCGATACCCCGCAAAATCTAGCCAAGTGACCCCTTAATCGGGCCCAGTTGCCTCTACTCGGTCTTACACCCCGCACCAATGACTATTTGTGCGCTGAGTTCGAAATGGAGCGCCGCGCTCGTCATCACCGCTGCGGGGTCGGGGTCGGAACGGGGGGGGGAACTGGGAGCGCACAGGGATTGGGCACCAGGCCAGCGTTCGGCGCGGTCCTCGGCCCGTTCGCAGGCCAGATCCGCTCGGTGAGGGGCCTGGGCTCCGGCTGGCAGTCTAGCCTCCCGACGCGGCGTTTGACGATGTGGTAGGGGCTTGGGGTGTAGCTCATGGTCCAGATCTACCGTGCGAGCAACCTGAGAACCGTGACAGAGTGCCTGACCAGCCTCAACGTAGATGGTGACAACATCACCACCGAACTCGCCGCTGCTTTGCAGCATGCCAGCATTACCGTCCCGCCTGGTCTCGCCACGGCCACGTTCTCCGTTGGGACGCCTGTTTCTAAGGACGTGGCCATCCCCGCAGCGCGCTGGGAGGTTCGCAACGACTGGTCGCTGTGCAGCACTAAGTGCGGCGTGGGGGTGCAGACCCGCAGGGTGCATTGCTTTCTTGGCTTCAACGAACTGTGTAACTTCAACCCTCTTCCAAACTACACCCAAGGGTCGTTCATGCCTGACAGGAGGGGGTGCGAGATGTACAGGTCGTGGCCTTACGACAGGACCTGCCCATCGGGCCCAGACCCTGTCACGGGCAAAGGGTGCGACGCGCATGCCGTCTCGGTGGCATGCACGCGCGCCGTTTCGTTCTTCGTCGTGTCTTATTGCACGATCCGTCAGATGTCTTGACGAGCGTCGAACATATCCGTATCCGCACCCTCGCGGCCCAGCTTCCAGGGAGCGATCCCGCAGATACGCGGTCGCACGCATACGCTCCGTGCGGTGAGCCCGTGAAAACGCCACGTGTCCGCGGGGCCGCGGGCCAGGAGCCCGGCCTGCGAGGCAGCGAACACGGATGCATTGTTCGCAGAACGGGTGCTTGGGTCCGGGCCGCCCTCGCTCGAGGCCTCCTGCATCGGGGCTGGACAGAACCCCCAAAAGTGACACGTCGATTAGTGAATTGTCCGTTTTCGCTTCTCGAGAGGGCGCCGTGGCTGTCATTTTCCAGGCTTGCACCCACCAGGTTTGGGCCTCAGGTCGTTTTCACTAAACCACGTTTTAATAAAGGGGGGAGTCTGTCCATCCCCGATTGCAGCCTCCGGGCCGCTACGAGCCCCCCGCCGCCCCGCACGCCGCTTGCGGGGGAGGCGCGCGCGCGCGCCGCTCTTCCGGGCTCCCGCTGGCGGGCCGTGCGGCAGGGGCTCCCTCGAGAGCGCGAGGTTCCTCGCGCTTCGCGCTCCGGCTCCGGTTCCACCTCCTTCTCCCCTTCCTCCCCTGGGAGGCGGCGCGAGAGCGCGAAGTTCCTCGCGCCCCGCGCGGCGCGAGAGCGCGAAGTCGGGAGCCCTTCGGTGCGGGCGCCGCGGCGCTGCTGCCCCCAGAGGCGCGCGCCGCTCGGAGGCTGCGACGGCCTCGCGGCCGACGAGCACAGGGCGGCGCTGCCGCCCCCATGCAGGCCAGCCTCAATTGGGGGAGCTGTGGTCCTTGCCCCCCGGGGGGACCGACCCATCGATTTCAACGCGGTGGTCCTTGCCCCCCTGTGGTCCTTGCCCCCCATCGATTTCAACGCGGGGGTAGTGGTCCTGTGGCTCCCATGACTGGGGGAGCTGTGCTTGCCCCCCTGAGGGATCGTCGATGCGGTGGGTTCCCCCAGGGGGGCAAGGACCACAGCTCCCCCGGTCATGGCTGGTCGGCCACTGGCGCGCGCCGCACGGAGGTTGCGAGGGCCCTGCGGCTGCCGAGCACAGGGCCGGGCGAGGGGCGGTGTGAATCGGAGAGTCGGCGGCGAAGGTCCGAAAGCCCTGCCCTCTCCGACCAACGATGCGGGCAACTCGACGGGTGGCAGGGTGGGTCCGGAACTCGTCGAACAGGTGGCGAAATCCGAGCCCGACCCCGCAGTTGGCGAACACGTGGCGAGATCGGAGCTCGTCGAACACGTGGCGGAATCCGAAATCCGAACCCGACACCATCGATTCAGAAGAATCGATGGCTGGGTGCAGTAGTGGTAGGGTTCGGATGCCGCAGCCGAACGAGGAGGTCAGCCAGCGCGTGCCCCAAGCAGTGTGTGTGTGTGTGTGCGTATCTAGCACTATGGTGTGCTGCACATGTTGTGCAATATGGGTGATGCAACCAGCGCTATGCGATATGCTGTGCGCCATATGTGTTGTGCGATATTTGGCTTGCAGTATGTTGTGTATGATCTATGTTGTCAAGTACAGTCGACCCGCAGGGTAAGGATAGGCATCCCGCCCAATGGTACCCGTGCATCCTTGCTATCTGGGTCCATCCTTGGTCACTTTCGTTGGCCGCGCCCCGCTCGAAACGCTTTAAAATGGGCGTCCAAGGGCCTTGCATCCTTATCGCGCATCCTTACTCTGCGGGTTGACTGTATATGTTGTGCAAAGTCGTGTGCACAACATGGATTGCAAACCATGCCGTGCTGCATTCAGGGTGCAACCTATCTGGGGCAGTATCTGTGGTACAACCTGTGTTGTACAACATATGTGGAGCTATATATGCGATGCAGTCTATATTGTGCAATGTAGGCTGTGCAATATGCTTCGTGTCATCTGCGTAGTGCAATATATGCTTGCTTGGCCACATGTGTGGTGCAACCTATGGAGTGCCATATACGTGGTACAACCAACCAAACTACGTTGGGAAGCTTATGTTGTGCACCATATATGATGCAATGTGCGTGGTGCAACATATGCGCTGCATTATATGCGGTGCAATCGCAGGGGCGCTATCATCGTGATGAGTTGCATGTAATTCAACATATGTGTTGCAGCCTACGTAGTGCCATACATATATATATATATATATTGCTCAACCTATGTTGTGCAATGTAGTTGTGTAGCATATGGTATGCAGTCTATGTTGTGGTATGCGTGTGGGGTAACCTACGTGGTGCAATGTATGGTGTGCAATATATCCGATGCAATCGAAGTGGTGCAATATATGCAGTACCATGTGTGCAAATTTATGTGGTGCAATATATGCGGTGCAATCCACTCTGCAGAACTTGAAGTCGTCATCTCCACTGCTCGCGCAAACATCCCACCCACCCACCCGCAACTTGGTTTGCAAAACCTCTTAAGACTGACTACGACGACACCGACGACAACGACTACAACGACACCGACGACGTCTCCGACGACTTCGACGACAACGACGCCGACGCCAACGACGACGAAGACGACGACGACGACGCCAACGAAGGCGAAGACGAGGGAGGAGGAAGGACGACGACGGCGACAACGACGACAACGACGACAACGACGTGGGAGGAGGGAGGACGGCGACGACGCGAACGACGAAGAAGGAGGAAGGACGGCGACGCCGACGACGACAACGACGAGGGAGGAGGGAAGACGACGACGACAACGACGACGACGACGACGGCGACGAAATAGGAGGGACGACGACGAGACGCCGACGACGGACGACGACGACGACGAGGGAGGAGGAGGAAGGACGACCACGGCGACAACGACGACGGAAACGACCACGACGCCAAAGAGGACGACGACGACGAACACGAGAAAAGACAGAGGACGACGTAGGCGACGACGACGCGGGAGGAGGGAGGACGGCGACGACGACGACGACGACGACGCAAGAGCGCGCGCGCACGCTTTTGTTGAAAATCCGTGTTGCGAAACCTTGGGTTTGTGTAGTTTTTTTGGACGCACGATTTTGAAATCCTTCCGAAACCGATGGGTTTTGAAGGTTTTCGGCATACGCCCGCGACGACGCGCGCGTCTGCACTTCGTCCCATTTGTTGCAGAGGATTCTCGCGACGGCACACGCGCAAGGGCGTTCGACAGATTTCGACATGCGCGCGCGAAGCCCGTTTGGCAACATTTTGTGGAAATCTTGAAAAACCCTTCGGTTTCCTCAAGATTTCGCAAGAGCTCGCGCGGAAGTTTTTTAGCAAATCAGTGTTGCGAAACCATGTGTGATTGTATGTGTTTTTGGAAACTCGATTGCGAAATCCTTCCGGCACCGAAGGTTTTTGAAGGATTTCGGTATGCGCGCTCGACGACGCGCGCGTGTGCGCTTCGTCCCATTTGTTGCAAGGGACTCGTGAACAAGTGCTATGTTAGAACAAAAAATGTCACCGCATAGTGTTTTTTACAACGGAACCTCAGGGGGGGGAACCCAGCCTGGCTGGGATGGCATGATTCCATATGTAGGATGGACGAGTGTGCAGAATATATGTGAAATTGTATTATCCCAGGGGGAACCGATAAGTCCGGGGGGGGGTAGAGTCTATTCTCTCCTTAGAAAAGAGGATATATATATATATATATATATATGTGGTGCAATTTCGATTGTGCAATCTAGGCAGCGACGGGATGGGCGGCGACGGGGCGGCGACGGTGGCAACCGCTGGTTTCGCCAGGGGCTGGTTTCGCCCGGCTGGTTTCGCCCCGCGCTGGTTTCGCCTGGGCTGGTTTCGCCCGACGCTGGTTTCGCCTGGGCTGGTTTCGCCCGGCTGGTTTCGCCCGGCTGTTTTCGCTTGGCTGCTGGAGGAGGTGCAGGAGGAGGAGGAGGAGGAGGAGGAGGAGGAGGAGGAGGAGTTGGAGAAGGGGGGAGGGGGGAGGAGGAGGAGGAGGAGGAGAGGAGGAGGAGGAGGAGGAGGAGGAGGAAGGAGAGGAGGAGGAGGAGGAGGAGGAGGAGGAGGAGGAGGAGGAGGAGGAGGAGGATGGGGGGGAGGAGGAGGAGGAGGAGGAGGAGGAGGAGGAGGAGGGAGGAGGCGGAGGAGGCAGTACGAGGAGGAGGAGGCAGTACGAGGAGGAGGAGGACGAGGAGGAGGAGGATGAGGTAGGGGAGGTGGGGGAGGAGGAGGTGGAGGTGGAGGTGGTGGTGGAGGAGGTGGCTGAGGGAGGGCAGGACGGAGGGAGGAGTCTCGGAGGGAAGAGGGTTAGTTCCGCCGGACCCGACCCGACCCGACCCGCCCGTTAGGGCACGCCCGTCCAGACCCGACCCGACCCGCCCGTTAGGGTCCGCCCGACCCGACCCGACCGTTAGGGTTCTCGCGTGCTCTCTCAATTATGCACCACACTTTAATGTCCCGCCCGCCCGACCCGGCCCGCCCGTTATGGTCCGCCCGTCCCGGCCCGACCCGACCCGCCCGTTGGGTCCGCCCGACCCGACCCAACCCGCCCGTTAGGGCTCTCGCGTGACCACTCGATTATGCACCACACTTTAATGTCCTGCGAAACCAGCGGGGCGAAACCAGCGCCGGCGAAACCAGCGTCAGGCGAAACCAGCGCCAGCGAAACCAGCGTCGGGCGAAGCCAGCCCCGGCGAAGTCAGCCCCGGCGAAACCAGCCGGGCGAAACCGGCCCGTGCCGCGACGGCGGCCACACAACCGCCAGACCGAAGACGCGGCCCAGTTCCTTACAGTGCCGTTTTTAATGCATGCTCCGCGTGCGGATCATGTATTAGAAATGCAGGGATTTAGCGTTCAAAACAACGATTAGATCATGCACAAAATCATTCATAAATTAAACTTGGATTGAAAATCCTATATTTTAAGAAATCGTATGTATTAAAAACTGCCCTGTAGAGCAGAAGTTAGAACCCCCAAGTGCAAGTTCTGTTCGGGGGATGCAATGAAGCAGCAGAAGCGGCGTCAGCACAGCTGTCCGCAGGGCCGCGCTCGGGGCAGCAGCGCCGCGGCGCCCGCACAGCCCAGTGTGCATGTTTCAATGTTCAAGCAGTGGCGAAGCGTCCTGGCTCGCCTATAGCCCCACCAAACAATGTTCTAAGAACCTTTCTGTGGTCCCCACGAGATGTTCGTAGAACATTTCTTGTTGAAAGTGGTTTGTTTTAACACATCGGGCTTATGTTCTAAGAACATTGTTGTTGTTATAAGAACATGTTTGGGTTCTAAGCACATCTCGTGGTAGGACTATAGGAATGCTGGGACGGTCGGTCCCTGCTCAAAGAAGGGGAGGCCCACGCTGGTTTCTAGGTCCTCGCTGGGACCCCCTCAGGCGGCGCCTCCGACGCCGCCCCTGGCACGCTTGGCGCGCTGGGGAGGGGGGTACAGCGCCGATCCAACCAGGTTCTGTTTGTGCCTCATCTTTGTGCAGTTCTTCTTCCTTCTAGTCGAGGCACGTCTCCCCGCCGTGGGGGAAGCCTTTTTTCCTCTTATTATTGATCATCCTCCTGAAAAGCGCCCCGAAAGGCCCCCAGGAGGCCGAAAATGGCAACGGCTAAAAGATTGTCGTTACTTTTCTCGACGCGAGCATGTCTGGGCGAGCGCGCGAGCGCCAGCCCTGGCTGCTGAATGCCCGGCCGCGCGTTCTCTGCTTCGCCTCGACCTTCTGCGCCTCGAAGCTGCGCACGAGGCCGCGACGCCAAAAGTGTGCGCCACCCTTCAAGGGAGGAAAAACCATCCGGACCGGACAATTGGAGTTTACTAAACGGCCTTGGGCGTTTACTAAACAGCCCTGCCCTGTTCGATTCCTTCTTTGGGCGCGTTTACTAAACGACTTCGCGTGTCGGGGTGGTTATTATGGGGGTGTTTTTTGGCATCTACGATGGCCCACCCCGCCAGGTAACGTGCGGCTTCGCTGTCGGGGGCCCGTCGTCGATGTGTCGGCGGTGTGGCGCCGACTCCAGGTCGACGTTCCCCCTCCTCGGCCAGCCCCCCCAATCGTTCCCCCTCGGGGGTGGATTTTTTGACTTCTAACCTTACGATGTTCCAAACTACTTTAGTCTTGATCACCAGGAAGAATTTCGAGCACCAAAGATGTACCGAAATTCAGGGGTTTTCACGTGTCGGGCCCTGGGAGACTCGCCCGACACCGTTTCGACACTGTTTCGACACTCTTTTGACATGTTGCCGGGTGCTCGAAATCATGTCTGGCATGCGGTCCTTAAGTAGGATGGGAACAACATAATTCTAGCCCTGGCTCGAGCTGCTGCAGCCGCGGCCGCGGCCCCCGCGGCGGCCATGCGCGGCAGTGCGCGCGGCGTCGCGACCGCGGCCAGCTACGAGGCCCCGGTCCGGGGGACGTCCCCGGCGGCGTGGCAGAGCTCCAGGATCTCCTCCTCCTCCTCCTCCTCCTCCTCAGCCACCTCCTCCGCCACCTCCACCTCCACCTCCTCCTCCCCCACCTCCCCCACTTCCTCCTCCTCCTCCTCCTCCTCCTCCTCCTCCTCCTCCTCCTCCTCCTCCTCCTCCTCCTCCTCCTCCTCCTCCTCCTCCTCCTCCTCCTCCTCGTACTGCCTCCTCCTCCTCTTCCTCCTCCTCCTCCTCAGCCACCTCCTCCACCACCTCCACCTCCACCTCCTCCTCCCCCACCTCCCCCACCACACCACCTCCCCCTCCTCCTCCTCCTCCTCCTTCTCCTCCTCGTACGCCTCTTGTTCCTCCTCCTCCTCCCCCTCCTCCTCCTCCCCCTCCTCCTCCTCCTCCTCCTCCTCCTCCTCCTCCTCCTCCTCCTCCTCCTCCCAAAATCAACCAACGCGACGAGGCCTCGCCTGCACGCGCGAGCTCTCCCGCGCGGAAATGCCGCGCGAGGGTGCTGGCTGGGGGAGAGATCATGGCTGGCGCCATGAGATCACCCAGATGTCATGACTCCAGGCCGCCCAGCTGGGGTCGGAGGAGATGGGATCGGAGGATCGCGGCGCTTCGACGATGCATCGGCGATGCGGCTCGATGTGAAGCCCGATGCTCTCTCCACGCCGACGTCGCCGATGCATCCCAAACGTTGACGATTCATCGGCGATGCGGGGCAATCCTCGGACCCTATCTACTCGGACCCCAACTAGGACGAATACTTCTTTCCAGCACATCCCCTGCGCACCCCCCCTCGTCCGAACAGACGGCAGAAACCGGAGTCGACTGCGCGGACATTCGCGCCCAAGCTCTCCGCATAAGGTCACGCATGAGCGCCCACTTCTCCACATGTTGGCCCGCGTAAACCCTAGCGTCATTCAGGTGGCTATGTTTTCTTGCGTAATGCCCGCTTCTTTTTTCGAAAAGTACGAAGTTGCATGAACAACAATTTCGAAGGTCCGCGCTAATTTCCTAGATCGGCGCCGGAGGCGCCGCCAGGGCGGCACAGCGCAGATCCAAGAAATTCGCGCGGACCTCCCAAAGTTTATGTCATCGCAATTCGCTGCTCTTCTATTTTCGTCGCTCGCATGCCTCGCGCCATGATCTGCGACCCGCTGCGAGACGTAAAGGTGCTGCGCTTGCAGCTGCAGGACTATGTGGAGCTCAGCGCCCCGGCGCGAATGGGCGAAGGACCCGTGACCCAAGACTCTCGTAGGGGGCCACGTGCGAACCCTACCCCTACCCCCCACGATTTCTGAGGGGGAGGGTGGGGTTCACTTCGCTCGGGAGCTCCCGAACAGAGTGAACCCCACCCTCTCCCTCAGAAATCGTGGGGGGGTTCGCACGTGGCCCCCCATCTCGGCCCCACGCGGCCGGGACCGCAAACATGCAGGCGTCCATGCAGACCGCGCAAGGACGTCAGGTGATGCCAGTCACCGCGCCCGGGCGCGCCTCCCCAGGCCCAGGCACTGCTCCCGTGCCGCGGGCGCCGCGGCGGACAGCCCGGTGCCCCGTGGGGGAGGAGAGGGGGCGAGAGGGGAAGGCGAGCGCGAGGGAGCGGAGGGGGAGGGGAGGACGGGAGAGGCGCGGGAAGAGGAGGGAAGCAAGCAGGAGGGGCCGGGGAGGGGAGGTCGCCCCACGCGGCTCCCTCTACAGCTGTCTCTTCCTCTTACTTCTCCTCCTCCTCCTCCTCCTCCTCCTCCTCCCTCCTCCTCCTCCTCCTCCCACCTCCTCCTCCCCTCCTCCTCCCTCCTCCTCCTCCTCCTTCCTCCTCCTCTCCTCCTCCTCCTCCTCCTCCACCTCCTCCTCCTCCTCCTCCTCCTCCTCCTCCTCCTCACCTCCTCCTCCTCCTCCTCCCTCCTCCTCCTCCTCCTCCTCCTCCCTCCTCCTCCTCCTCCCCTCCTCCTCCTCCTCCACCTCCTCCCCCTCCTCCTCCTCCTCCTCCTCCTCCTCCTCCTCCTCCTCCTCCTCCTCCTCCTCCTCCTCCTCCTCCTCCTCCTCCCCTCCTCCTCCCTCTCTCTCCTCCTCTCTCCTGCACGCCTCCCTCCTGGACGCCCCCGGCAGGAGCCGCGAGCGCCCAGAGCCCGGCGCGGGCGCGCGCTCCTCCGCGGCGCCGCTGCTGGGCCGGAGGCGCCCGCCCGCGGCGGGGCCTGGCGAGGAGCGGGGGCCGCCAGATGGGGGAGCTCGCTGGAGTCGTGCGGGTGGTGACGGGGCGTGACTTGCGTAGGGAAACGTACAATGACATCAACATAAAAGCTCGGAGGTCTGCGCGGATTTCTTGGATCTGCGCTGGACCCCCCTCCCTGGCGCGCGGAGCGCGCCAGGGGCGGCTCCGGAGGCGCCGCCAGGGGGCCCCAGCGCCGATCCGAGAAATCCGCGCGGACCTCCGAGTTTTTATGTTTATGTCATTGTTCGTCTCCCTATTGCGGCAGGTTCGGGGGTGGACAGACCTCCTACCCTGACACGTCGATGAAGGAATTGGCGGTTCTCGGTTCGCGAGAGGGCGTCGCGGCCGTCGTTCTTGCGGGTCCAGGTCCGTCGGTTTCGGTCCCAGGTCGTTTTCACTAGGGGGAGGTCGGTACTAAAGGGAGGTTGTCCACCGCCGACAGGTTCGAGTCGTGTCGACCGGCGGCGACCCCAGCGCGGGCGTGTAAGGTTGAACGCTGCCTGTGGCCCAGAATCGGCCCATCCTTGGACGATCTGGCCTTTTTGAAAGGGCCGATCGTTCAAGTTTGAACGATCCCCGCGGGGTCTGGAACCAACGCCGGGGTCGACACGACGCGAACCTGCGATACATGAGGGTGAAGAAACGGGCCCCACAGGGGCCCTTGAGGACCCCTCCCCAAAGGGGCCTTGTGGGGCCCCTCTTGGCTCCAGAAAGGGCCCTACCGGGCCCCTGTCGGGCCCTTTTGTGCCCCCCATCACCACCCACCCGATGGGGGTCTGAGGTGGCAGAGCACAGATTCTGGGTTCGGGAAGTTTTAGCCTTTCTCGGCCTGGGGCCGTCTTCAGGCCCTGGGACCGTCAAAAACGGATGCGGGGTGAAAAACTTCTCCAAATGATGGACCGGCCCCCATCCTGACCGATTCCCTGGGGTCCCAACCAGTTCAGGCCCTCTTGCCGCCTCCAAGATGGAACCCCCACCCTGCCAACGGTGGAGGATCGGAGGTCGCGTCGTCGATCGAGGATCGGAGGTCGCGTCGTGGAGGAGGCCGATCGAGAAACTGATCGAGGATCGAACCCCCACACTGCCAAGGGTGGATCGAGGATCGGAGGTCGCGTCGTCGACCAAGGATCGGAGGTCGCGCCGTGGAGGAGGTTGATCGAGGATCGGATCGAATCGAGGACAGACCCCCACCACGCCAGCCCAGACGTGCTCGCGTCGTGGGGAAAACAACTTCCTCCTCATAATATTCCTCCTCCTCCTCCGCGTCCCTCCTACTCCTCGTCCCTCTCCTCCCTCCGCCTCCTCCTCCCTGCCAACCCTGCCAATGGTGGATCGAGGATCGGAGGTCGCGTCGCCGATCGAGGATCGCAGGTCGCGGCATGGAGGAGGTCGATCGAATGTATCGGATCGAGAACACAGATAATTAACGCACCCTGCCAGACCTGCTCCTCCTCCCCCTCCCCCTCCGCCTCCTCCTCATCATCAGCAGCAGCAGCATCAACATCAGCAGCAGCAGCAGCATCATCATCATCATCATCATCATCATCATTATCATCATTATTTGTATCGGCATCATCAGCATCATCGTCGTCATCATCAACACCATCATCAGCATCATCATCCTCATCCTCATCAGCATCATCATCGTCATCAGCATCAGCAGCATCAGTATCAACATCATCAGCATCATCAGCAGCAGCATCATCATCGTCATTATCATCAGCATCATCATCATCAGCAGCATCAGCATCATCATCACCACCATCAGCATCATTATCGTCGCTCATGTTCCTCCTCACTACTCCTCCTCCTCCTCCTCCTCCTCATCCTCCTTTTCTTTCTCCTCCTAGCCCCTTTACCTCGAACCTCCTTTTTCCAGGGTCGAATATCGGATCAAGGTCACACATACCGCACCTGGTCAGCCTTCCTCCTCCTCTTCCTCCTCCTCCGCCTCCTCCTCTTCCGCCCCCGTTTTCGTCTTCTTGCATCTCCTCTTCATCTTCATTCTTCTCCTCCGCCTCCTCATCTTCCTCAACCTCGTCATCATCAGCAGCAGCGTCAGCACCAGCATTGGCACAACAACAACGGCAGCAGCACCAGCAACAACATCAGCATCAACATCATCAGCATCAGCCGCAGCATCATCACCAACAGTATCATCATCCTCAGCATCAGTACCATCATCATGATCACCCGCATCATCATCATCATCATCATCATCATCATCATCATCATCGTCATCATCGTCATCATCAGCATATTCATCATTATCACCATCATTCGTATTAACAACATCATCCTCGTTACCATCAGCATGAGCATCATCATATCCAGCAAAATCATCATCACCGTCACCAGTATCATCATCAGCATCTTCAGCATCATCGCCATCATCAGCATCATCAGCAGCAGCATCATCGACAGCATCATCAGCATGGTCGTAAGTATCAGCATCAGCATCAACATCATCATCATCAGCATCAGCATCAGCGTCAGCAGCTTCAGCGTCATCATCAGCACCATCATCAGCATCAGCATCGGCAACATCACCCACATCAGTCGCAGCATCATCACAATCATCAGCAACATCATCAGTAGAAGCACCATCATCATCAGCCGCATCATCATCGTCGGCATCAGCACCGCCATCATCAGCAGCATCAGTACGATCAGTAACAGCGCCCGCATCATAATCATCAGCATCATCATCAGCAGCAGCAGTGGCAGCATCAGCATCGTTACCGTCAGCATCCCCATGATTCATTACCAACATTGTCATCACCAGCATCGCCATCAGCATCATCAGCATCATCACCATCATCGTCATCATCATCGCTCCTCTTCCTCTTCACTGCTCCCCCGCCTCCTCCTCATCCTCCTCCTCGTCCTCCTGTTCCTCCTCCTCTTTCTCCTCCTCCTCCTCCTCCTCCTCCTCCTCCTCCTCCTCCTCACTCCCACTCCTCGTCCCTCTCCTCCCTCCACCGCCTCCTCCTTCCTGCCAACCCCGCCAACGGTGGATCGATGATTGGAGGTCGCGTCGTCGATCGAGGATCGCAGGTCGCGGCCTGGAGGCGGTAGGTCGAATATCGGATCGAGATCACAGATACCGCACCTTGCCAGCCCTCCTCCTCCTCCTTCTCTCCCTTCTCCTCCTCTTCCGCCTCCTCCTCTTCCTCCTCCTCCTCCTCCTCCTCCTCCTCCTCCTACCCCCCCCCCCCTCCTCCTTCGCCCCTCCTCCTCCTCCTCCTCCTCCTCCTCCTCCTCCTCCTCCCCCTCCTTCTCTCTACCCCCCTCCTCCGCCTCCCCTCCCCTCCGTCTCCTCCTCCTCCGCCTCCACCTCCTCCGCCTCCACCTCCTCCTTCTCAGCTTCTTCCTCGTCTGCATCAGCAGCAGCAGCATCATCATCATCAACATCATCATCATCAGACGCATCAGACGCATCAGCATCAGTATCCGGATCGACATCAGCATTATCGTCAACACAATCAGCATCATCCTCAGCATCATCATCATAATCAGAATCAGCATCCTCATCATCATCAGCATCATCATCGCCGTCAGCATCAGCAGCAGCATCAGCATCAGCATCATCATCAGTAGCAGCCCCACCATCATCATCGGCATTGTCAGCATCAGCATCATCATCAAGAACAGCATCAGCATCGTCATCGTCGACATCATCATCCTGATCCTCATCATCAGCATCATCATTAACATCGTCATCAGCAGCATCAGTATAAGCATAATAATCCTCATCATCACCATCATCAGCATCATCAGCATCACCATCATCATTATCATCAGCGGTATCGTCGCTTCTTAGCCTCCTCTGTTCTCCTCCTCCTCCTCCTCCTCCTCGTCATCATCATCAGCATCATCATCATCCTCATCCTTATCCTCATCCTCCTTCTCCTCCCCATCCTCCTTCTCCTTTTCCTCCTCATCCATCTCCTCCACCTCCTCCTACCCCCTCCTCATACCCCCTCCTCTCACCCCCTCCTCCTCCTTCTCCTCCTCCTCCTGCTTCTCCTCCCCCTCCTTCTTCTCCTCCTCTTTCTCTTCCTCCTCATCCTACCCCCTCCTCCTACCCCCCCCCCCTCCTCCTTTTCCTCCTCCTCCTCCTCTTCCTCCTCCTCCTCCCTATCCTCCTATTCCTTCTCCTCCTCCTTCTCCTCCTCCTCCTCCTCCTCCTTCTCTCCTCCTCCTCCTCCTCCTCCCCCTCCCCCCCTCTCCTCCTTCTTCTCCTCCTCCTCCTTCTCCTTCTCATCCTTCCTCCTCTCCTCCTCCTCCTGCCTCCTCCTCCTCCTCCTTCTCCTGCTCCTCCTGCCTCTTCCTCCTACTCCTCCACCTCCTCCTCCTCCTCCTCCTCCTCCTCCGCCTCCTCCTCATCCTTCTTCTCCTCCTCCTCTTCCTCCTCCTCCTCCTCCCCCGTCTTCTCCCCCTTCTCACGCGCGCGCTGTTACGACAGATTTCTGTCCCGTCCCGTCCTCGCACCACCCTGCCAACCCAGACATGCTCGCGTGGTGATTAAAACACGATGGGCGTTTGTGGCCATTTTCTGCCTCTTGGGGCCTTCGCTGGGCCCCAGGGCCATCGAAAACGATTCGGGGTGAAACACCAGTCCTGCGGAAGGGCTGGGTTTTCCAGGGACTGCGCACTGACAAATCAAGACCTTTGCTGTCTCGGAAGTCAACTGGCGAGTTGCCTTTTTTCGGTTCTGGGGAGGGTGCTGCGGCCGAAGTGTTCGCGGGCTTCTGCGCCCGCTGGGGCTGGTCCCTTGTCCCTTGTCCTCTGAGGCATCGCACGGCGCGCAATACTTGTAGTATCGAGTCCGCACGCCCGCTCCGTACAATATGGGTCGACGTTCGCGTGGCGATGCTACGACGTAACGAAGTGCGGCGGGAACACGTCGTAAATCCGACGTGGATCCTGCGCACGTTGGGTCTCAAGTTGCCACGCGAGGCCTGCAGGACATTCCTCGCAACGTGTCGTCTTCACTGGAGGGTGGGGTGCTTCGCCAGAGTGCGCCCTGGCCACACCCGAGAGGAGGGCGCGCTGCTCAAGAGGCACGCCGCGAGGGCCGGCGGCGGCACCGCGAGAGGCCGCTCCAGCTCGGAGCGCCCCGACCGCCTCGCGTCGCGGAGAAGTTTCCCGACGGGAGGGGCTGTGCCAGTCTCTGGGCCTCCCAGGCGAGCGACGGAGAAGCCGAGGCCGACTTCACCGACGTTGGCCATGAGTTGCCCGCGTAAGGTCGCGCGTAGGCGCCTTCGTTTCCAATGTGGCGCGCCGCGCTGGCGGCCCGCGTGAGCCACCGAGTGAGGTCGCTATGACATCACGCGTGAGGCCTTTTTTTATTTGGCCGCTCAAGTGGGGTCCGGGTAGATGGAGTCGAAGGAGCACTCCGCATCGCCGATGCATCGACGATGCGGCTCGATGTGGAGCCAGGATTTCTCCACGCCGATGGCGCCTATGCATCGCCGATGTCGCCGACGCATCGCCGATGCGTCGGCGATGCATTGGCGATGCAGCGCGATCCTCCGACCCCATCTAATTTTAAGTCGGGCCCGTCCCTCTACAGGGGGGATATTCGAAAATAGTCAAAAAGTAGTCCAGGGACTATTGTTTGAGTATGTTTTAACCATTTGGGAGCATTTTTGGCGGTATGTGTTGTATTGTTCGTCGAAAATCCCCTGTGTAGGGGGGCACGCCCGACTTAAATTTAATTGCTCGGAGCGCGTCTACGAGGCCTCGATAGCTTCGGCCTCCAGAGCCCCCCGCTGGGCCCCAGGGCCGACGGAAAAAAAGGCTCGGGAGGAAGAGCCTGCCCCGGGGTCGCGCCTCCTCCTCCCGCCCCTTTCTCCTCCTGCCTCGTCCTCCCCTTCCTCCTCCTCCTCCTCCTCCTGCCTCCTCCTCCTCCTCCTCCTCCTGCGTCCTGCCTTTGCCTCATCCTCCTGCGTCCTGCCTTTGCCTCCCCCTTCTGCCTCCTCCTCCTGCCTCCTCCTCCTACTCCTCCTGTCTTCTCCTCCTCCTCCTCCTGCCTCCTCCTCCTCCTCTTCCTCCGGCGGCGCGCGGTCCCAGCGCACTTTGAGGAGGTGCCTCCTCCTCTTCCTCCTCCTCCTCCTGCTCCTCCTGCTCCTTACCCCCCCCCTTGCAACATGCTCCCTCCCTCTCTCTATATCCCCCCTTCTGGTCCCTTCCATCTCATCTTACTTGCCCCTGCCTTTCCGTCAGCCTGCCTCCTCCAAGGGGTCCAGGAGGAGGAGGAGGAGGAGGAGGGGCAGGGGGAGGGAGGAGGAGAAGGAGGGGGAGGGAGGAGGGAGGAGGGAGGAGGAGGGGCAGCGGACGGGGGATGGTGGAAGGGGGAGGAAAGGGGTCCTCGTTTCTGGGGGCCCACGCCGTGAGAAACAGCATGGTCCTCGGGGGTCTGGTCTTGCGGCTGGCCCAGCCCGAGGCAGCGGCGGCCCTCGCTGGCGGTGCTCGCCGCCACGGCCGGACCCGCCTCGGACAAACAAACATACATGTTTTCAGGGGGCCGCGCGCAGACAATTTCTCAGAAGGCGCGAGGGCTTCTGAGAAGGCCCGCGGCCTTCTGAGAGGGCCTTCTCCTTCCCGCTTCCCCCCTTCGCTCGCTCGCTCGCCGAATGAGCTCGCCCCCCCAGTCCGCGAGACCAGCCTCGTGATGCGGACGTTCTCGCAATGCGTTCTCTCGCAACCAACGCGGACTCATGTACGTGTACGTCCTTCGTGCGCTCCTGGCCTGGGCCGCACGCAGCGAGCCCTGGCATCATCGAAGTCGGGAGGTCTGGGCGTTTGGGGGCGTTTCCCGAAGGTCCAGGGGATCGAGTGGCTCTGTCTCCCAAGGTCTGAAGGGTCGAGCAGCTCTGGCTTTGAAGGCAACTCTGACGAATTCCAGCGTCTGAGCGTTTTGGTATATATTTCCACTCTCTGGGCCTCTGGGGGGCTTCTCGTCGCCACGGCCGGGTGCGCCTCGAGGCTCTGGTCAAAACGCACCCCAGAGCAGATCCGTGGGGGCAACATTTGACCGCTGGGCCTGACATCCTCGCGCCGTGAGGCCAAATAAACTACACATGTTCAGCATCTGTTAGCATCTCATAACCTACACATGTTCAGCAACCTCCAACATCTGGGCAACCTTTTTTCACCTCTGGGCCCTGACATCCTCGCGCCGTGAAGCCAGATGGACTGCACATGTTCAGCATCTGCTGGCCTCGGGGGGCCCCTTGCTAGGCCCCGCGGCCGCCAACAAAAACAAGACTCGGGACGAAGAGCCTGGTCCCCGGGGAGGGGGGGGGCCCTGGGTAGGAGTGGCCTCTGGTGCGCGGCCTTCGGGGGCCGCGGGGGGACCAGATCCAAGCGGTGCAGGCCAGTGTTAAGTCGGGCGTGTCCCCCTACAGGGGGATTTCGACGAAAAATAAAAGATAACCGAAAAATAATCAAAAAATAGTCCGAAATTAGTCTGGGGACTATGTTTGGAGTATTTGTTGATCCTCTTGGGGCATTTTGGGGGTATCTTTTATTTTTCGTCGACGATCCCCCCTGTGGGGGGACACGCCCGACATAAGGCCAGTGGTGGGGAGGCATCCCTGCGGGCCCGCACCGAGAGCCACTCCGGCGAAGGGCCACTTCTGGGCGTGCCGCGCGACCAGAGCCTTGGCATCGCTCGGGCGTGTGCATGTTTCCTTCGGCGAGGACCATCGAGGAGCATCCTTGATCATTTGGCGAAAAAACCACACACGAAACCGAAAAAAAACACAGGGAATGGACGTCCGAGCGATGGCCAGGAGCAGAAGGATGCGCAAGGCCCTTGGACGCCCAGGTCGAGGCCGAAGTTGGGAGGCCGCGGCAAGGGCGAGGCCGAGAGGCAAGGATGCAAGGGCACCCTTGGAAAGAAAGCAACTCGTCCCTCCCAGACGTTTTTCGTCGGCGGCGAGGCAGAGTTCGCTGCACCAGCGATAGAGCTAGACGGGACACCGAGAAGCGAATTGGCCAGCGTGCAAGAGCGGGAAGAGGGCAGAGAGGGCGGGCCGCGGAGGAGGATCATCCTTCCCAGATCTACGATGTTCCTGGCATCGCTCGGACGTGTGTATTTTTCTCGGCGACGACCATCCAGGACCATCGAACAAACAAAAACACGCACGACACCGACACATGCACGGGAGATGGACGTCCGAGCGACGGCAAGTATTTGGCTGTTGGCAACACGCGGTGCCCCGAAGCCCCGACCCTCCCCCCGGGACCGGTCTCTCGTCCCGAGGCGTCTCTTGATGGCCCCAGGGCCCAGCGAGGGCCACCGGAGGCCGAGAAAGGCCACCAAGTCCTCCGACGGCAGGACCGCACAGGATAATATGTTTAGCTTGTCCCTCGCCCTGTTCTTCTTCGTCGACTGGCGGAGGCCTTCCGTCCGCCCTTTGCCTCCTCCTCCTCCCCCTCCTCATTCTCGTCCTTCTCCTCCTCTTGGTCATTCTCGAACTGCTCGTTGCATTTCTTATCCTCTTGCTCTTACGCCTCCTCCTTTTCCTCTCCCTCCTCGTCCTCCGCCTCCTCTCCCTCCCCCTCCTCGTATTCTTCCTCCTTTTCGTCCTTCTCTTCCTCCTCCTTCACCTCCCCTCCTTCTCCCTATCCTCATCTTCGCCCCGCTTGTTCTCCTCGTGCACCTTTCCTTCCTCCTGGCAGGAGCGCGCGCGTCGGTTGTCCTCGGCGCCGTCGCCGCCTCGGCCAGCGCGGGCGCATTTTCGAAGGGCCGCGTCGCGCAGCCGTTGGGACAACCCCGCGTGATACTCCCCCATATTCAGGCCTCAGGATCCCTAAAGTGACGACAGGGTTCTGGTGACCTGTTCGGAGTAGTATCATGAGCTGCGGGCCCCACAGGAGGGGGGCTCAAGCCTGAGACTTCCTCGCGATTCGTTCACACACGGAGCCCCCGCCTTAGACATCCGCCATACTGAAGCTTGAAGGGGCCAAAAGTGACGACAGTTACAGGATTCCGATGACCCGCTCGGAGAAGTAACGTGATCTGCGAGCCCCACGGGGATGGGGCCGCCGCCTGAGACGCCGTCGCAATTCAGTCACAGACGAGGCTCCCGCCTGAAACGTCCGCCATACTGGAGCTTGAAGGGGCCAAAAGTGGCGACAGCTACAGGATTCCGATGACCCGCTCGGATTAGTAACATGAGCTGCGGGCCCCATGGTGAGGGGGCGTCCGCCTGAGATTTCCTCGCAACCCACTCACAGACGAGGCTCCCGCATCAGACTTCCGCCATATTCAGGCTTGAAGAAGCCAACAACGACGACGACTACAGGATTCCGATGTCCTGCTCGGGTTAGTAACATGAGCTGCAACCCAATAGGGAGGGCCCCCCCGCTTGAGACGTCCTCGCAATTCAGTCACTGACGAGGCTCCCGCTTGAGATTTCCGCCATACTCAAGCTTGAAGGTGCCAAAACGACGACAGATACAGGCTTCCGATGACCCGCTCGGATCAGTAACATGAGCTGCGGGCCACATGGGGAGGGGGATCCCGCTTGAGACTTCCACCATTTTCAAGTTTGAAGACGCCAAAAGTGAGGACTGTTACAGGATTCCGATGACCCGCTCGGAGTGGTAACATGATTTGCGGGCCCCACAGGGAGGGGCCCCCCGCCGGAGACTTCCTCGCAATTCACTCACAAACGAAGCTCCCGCATGAGATGAATGAGTGAGTGAATTAGTGAGTGAGTGAGTGAGTGAAGGTGATGATGATGGTGATGATGATGATGACGACGATGAAGATGACGATGACGGTGACGATGACGATGACGATGGTGGTGATTGTTATGATGACGATGATGATGATGATGATGATGATGATGATGATGATGATGATGATGATGATGATGATGATGATGGCGATGAGAGTGTGACTGAGTGGGTGAGTGGGCGGGTAAGTGGATGAGTGAATGGGTGAGTGCGTGAGTGAGTGATGATGATGACTGTGTGCGTGAGTGTACGAGTGGGTGAGTGAGTAGTGGGTGAGCGAGTGTGTGTGTGAGTGTGTGTGTGAGTGGGTCAGTGGGTGAGTGAGTGTGTGAGTGGGTGAATGAGTGTGGGTGTTCTCTTGTTCCTGGGCGGGGTGTCTAGAGAAAACAAGAAACCCACTTTAGATGTGGGGAAAAAACGCCCGTGGCGATTCTGTTCACGACGCGAGCACGTCTGGAACGGGTCGGGATGGACCCCGGGAGGGGCCCCAGAACGGACAAGGGCCGGGCGGGAGGGCCGCCGATGTCCCAAATGGCCTTCCTCCGACACGTCGCAGCGCCGCCGTCGTCGTCGTCGTCAGCGTCGTCGTCGTCGCCCCCGTCGTCTACGCCGTCAACGTCGCTGCCGCTGTCGTCGTCAACGTCGCCGCCGTCGTCGTCAACGCCGTGGCCGTTCTCCGACAGGCGCTGACGACAGCGACGCGTCCGACGCCGACGGCGAGGGCTCGGAGGCCGCGGGCGCGGGCCGCCTCCAGGCGAGCTGGGAGGAGCTCCTGCTCTGCATCGGGGCGGCGCTGGCCGTGGTCCCCTGAGATCGGGGCGTTGCAAGTGTCAAGCAGTGGCGAAGCGTCCCGGCTCGCCTACAGCCCCACCAAACAATGTTCTAAGCGCTTTGTGTGGTTCCCACGCAATGCTCTTAGAACATGTCTGGTTAGGACTGTCTTGTTTTCACACATGGGGTGTATGTTCCAAGGACGTTGTTCTTGTTCTTAGAACAGTTTTGGGTTCTAAGAACATTCCTTGGTAGGACCATAGGAATGCCGGGACGGTCCTGCTCAACTTCGGGAGCCTTGAGACGGGGGTCAATGCAAACGGAGGTCAGCCAGGGCACCGGATCCTGCAGGATTTTGCGAAGACCCCCTCTGGTGACCCGGGTTAGCGAGCCGCTCGTGGCCGCGAGGCGGCCGCGCGTATTGGCTGACAAGGGTTTGCGAAGATCTGCGTTGCATTTTTTTTCTTGCATTGCAGTTTTTGGTTTCCTGCTGACCCGGGTCTGGATTGACCCGGGTCAGAAGATCCCCGACAAGTGAGACCGGGGGGGTGCAAGTGTTTCACCACGGTCGTTTTTGCCCAGTTCCGGGCCCTGGGGCCATCACAGATCGGTCCAGCTCGGAGAGTGGCGCAGAACGACGGGGCCCAGGGCTCTGGTCGCGATGTTTCGCGATGTCGCAGGTGTGTGTTCGACTAGACGTAAGGGTGACCTTTCGCCGGAGTGAACTTTGGTGCGGGCCCACTGGGGTCCCCCCATCGCCAAGCGCGATGCGGCAGTGGCGTCTTGCGCGCTTGCTTTTGACCCCCCCAGCAGCCCCCAAAAAGCCGCGCACCAAAGGTCACTCTTACCCAGGGTCACTCTTGCGTGTGCCCGATGTGTGAATCGCAACGTCGGATCCCGAGGTCTCGGGGGTTTACCTCATGTTCGTGGCGGCTCGGGCGATCACAGACGACCAGGTGAACTTGGTTGCCCACTTCGCCTGGAGGCTTCAGGGGCAACGATAGGGGGGATGAGCTCGGGGGGGGTGCATCGACCCCCAATCGCCCATTCATTGCCCATCGGGGCCCGATAGCCCCAACCTGCCCAGGAGCATGCGGACTTAGTATCGGGGGCCTATCGCCGATCTACCGGCGATGTACCGCCGCTTTCAGGTCGAGGTTTCCGGCCCCTGTGCCAGTCCGCCCATATCGTTGCCTCATGGCTTCGGGTCATGACCCGCATCTCTGGCGGCTGTTCGGGGCGGTACGGGCCCCCCAGAACGCTCTCGGGGAGGCGCTGCCGCTGGCAGGCATCCCGAGGCTGGAAAGCCGCCGAGTGCCCACGAAAGCGTTCGAAATCCTCAAACATCGAAGCTCGAAACCTCGAGGTGCGAGCCGGTCCGCCCCTATCGTTGCCCCTCCAGGCTGCCAGGGTGGACGCCGGGGCCGAGGAGTGCCGCCGTGGTGGCCCTCGTGCTGGCGGTCTGCGCGGCTGGGAGCGGGGTGCTGGCAGGTCGCGCGGCGGCGCTGGCGCTCCTGGACGACAAGGATCGGGGGCAACGGTAGGGGGGATACCAGTATCGTTTAACCCATCCCCATCCCCATCCCGAGCCCAACCATCTCACCACCCCAGTTGGGGATCGGAGGCCGGGGGGTGAGACCGCAGTGGAAGGGAGACCCCCAACTGGGAAATCGTTTCGTTTCTGTCGTGCGCGCGGGCGAGGCGAAGCTGCGTGGGCGCGCAAGAGGAATGATTTCGCCGTTGCTTGGGCGAAGTCAAGACAAATGATTCCCCCCCGCCAGCCCGTCCGGCGGTGGCTCGCGGTGTCCCGCGGTGTTCCGTGGTGTCCCGTGGTGTCCCCATGTTGCTCGGGCGAAGTCAAGACACATGATTCTCCCCCGCCCGCCCGTCCGGCGGTGGCTCGCGGTGTCCCGCCGTGTCCCGTGGTGTCCCGTGGTGTCTCGTGGTGTCCGCCGTTGTTAGGGCGAAGTCAAGACAAATGGTTCTCCCCCGCTCGCCCGTCCGTCCGTCTGTCCGGCGGTGGCTCGCGGTGTCCCGCGGTGTCCCGTGGTGTCCCGTGGTGTCCTGTGGTGTCCCGTTGAGTGAGATCGATAGTGAGATCGATTCTGAGGTCGATGTGGTGTCCCGAGGTGTCCCGTGGTGTCCCGTGGTGTCCCAAAAAGTGAGATCGATTGTGAGATCGACAGGTGTCCCGTGGTGTCCCGTGGTGTCCCGTTGAGTGAGATCGATAGTGAGATCGATTGTGAGGTCGATGTGGTGCCCCGTGGTGTCCCGTGGTGTCCCAAAAAGTGAGATCGATAGTGAGACCGATAGTGAGATCGACAGGTGTCCCGTGGAGTCCCGTTGAGTGAGATCGATAGTGAGATCGATTCGATGTGGTGTCCCGAGGTGTCCCGTGGTGTCCTATGGTGTCGTTGAGTGAGATCGATCGTGAGATTGATATTGAGACCGATAGTGAGATCGAGAGGTGTCCCGCGGTGTCCCGTGGTGTCCCGTGGTGGCCCGTGGTGGCCCGTTGAGTGAGATCGATAGTGAGATCGATTGAGTCAGATGTTGGTTTCCCCCCTTCTCCCCCCCCCCACGACCTCCTTATCACCCGAAGGGTGGTCGTACACGTATACCCCTCGAATCCCGATGGGAATATCCCCATCTAGGGATGTAAAGCGGCCAGTGGGGCCCAGGCCACACTGATGGGGATGGAGATCGGCTAAACGATGTTCGGGGTATGCATAGGGGGATACATCGACGTCGAATGGTTGATACATCGACGGTGCAACGACGATCGTTGATATCAAGGCGATACATCGACGATACATGATGCGGTCTGCATTGAGGATGCATCGACGATACACTATGCGATGTATGGGTCAGTCGAGGTCGATGCATCCCCCTTTACGCCTATCCCCCCTTATCGTTGCCCCTCAAAGGAGGCCCGCGTGGGGCTGGAGGCCGGGGACGTGGCGGAGCTCTCGTCCCTCTCGGCGACTACAAAGGGTGTCGTTATGCCGGGGTGTGATCTGCGATCGGCGCCGTTGGGGCTCGCGGGCACCACGTTGCCCTCGTCGGGCCTCCTCGGGGCGCCAGGGAGAGCTCTGACGAGGTCCTCCCGCCCCCCAGGGGTGCGGGTTGCAACCCGCACTCGTTTTGCAGGCCACACCCTTCGGAGTCGCCGACCCTCGTTGCCGCCGAAGCCGACAGCGACGAGGACGGTGGCGAGGCGAGCGAGGAGCCCAGGGCTCCATGGAGCCCCGACCCCGGCGTGGTCGGCGCCCTGACGTGGTCGATGCGGGGCGCGGCTGCGGCAGGCGTGCTGCTGCTCCTCGCGGAGCTGTACTGGCTCCTGCTGCAGCAGGTAGGGGGCCAGATGTGAACCCTACCCCTACCTCCCTCGATTTCTGGGGGGGAGGGTGGGGTTCACTTCGTTCGGGAGCTCCCGAGCAAAGTGAACCCCACCCTCCCTCTCAGAAATCGTGGGGGGTAGGGGTAGGGTTCGCTTCTGGCCCCCCAGCAGGCGCGCCCGCAGGTGTACCGCGCGACCAACCTGTTCTGCGACCTGCCCAAGCTCTTCGACCTCGGCCCCGGGTGCCGGCCGGCCGCCGCCCACCACGGCGGCGGTGCCCGAGGGGAAAACATCATTGCATTCTCAGGAGGGAAAGAAGCACACAGACAGAATTCATCTGCGATTCCCCCTAAATTACCCCAGTTCGACCCTACCTAGAAGTTGGAGCCCCTAGGAAAGCAGCATTAGTTGCTATGCCATGCTATGCTATGCTATGCCATGCTATGCTGCGCTATGCTATGTTATGCTATGCTGCGCCATGCTATGCTATGCTAAGCTATGCTATGCTATGTCATGCTGTGCTGTACTACGCTAAGTGAAGTATGCAATGCTATGATTTGCTATGCTATGCTAAGCTGCGCTATGATATGATATGATATGATATGCTATGCTATGCTATGCTATGCTGCGTTATGCTATGATTGGCTATGGTATGCTATGCTATGTTATGATAGGATTGGCTATGTTCTGCTATGCTATGCTATGCTAATGCAGCGCTGCGCTATGCTAAGCTAAGCTAAGCTAAGCTAAGCTAAACTAACCCTCTAGGCAGAGCCTAGGTAGGGAATTACACCCGTGCTAAGGGGACGCAACTGGGGGAACCGCGGGGCGGATCCTGGGGGAACCGCCCGGGGCGGGCAACACTGCCCGGCCCCTTTAAGCTAAGACAATAAGAGCCCTTCTAGGCAGAGCCTAGGTAGGGAAATAGGGGAAAATATGGGAAGTGGGGGGAAGACAAAAACCTAGAAAAGATGGGAAGATATGGGAAATCTGTTTATGTGTGTGTATTTATTTGTGTGTGTGTCCCAGGGCCCCTTCACATTCGCATAACCCTGAGATCGGGGCGTTGCACTTTTTTTAACCACGGGCGTGTTCGCCCGACTTCGGGCCCTGGGAGCATCACAGACAGATCTGGCTCAGAGAGGGGCGCAGGAGGGTGGGGTCCAGGGCTCCAGTCGCTTGGCATCGCTCGGACGTGTGCGTTTTTTCCTTCGGCGAGGACCATCGAGGAGCCTCCTTGATCATTTGGCGAAAAAAACCACGCACGAAATCGCAAAAAAACACAGGGAATGGACGTCCGAGCGATGGCCAGGTCGTGATTCCATGCAATGTCACATTGTTCTGCAACGTCGGATCTCGGGGAACTTGTCGGAGGTCCGCGCAGATGTTGTAGATCGGCGTTGGGCCCGGCGTCGATCCGAGAAGTCCGCGCGGATCTGGGCGGTGCCGGGGGCGGCCAAGAGGGGGGTAATGACTAGGGGTGGTGGATATCATGGCGCCTCTTCTGATTTCAATGCGTCCTCGCCCCCCCCCCCCTGGGCCGCGCACATGCCGCCGGCCAGGATTGGCTCCCCCCCTCTTGGACGCCCCCCCCTTGGACGCCCCCGAAGTTGGAAGTCACCACCTTGGTTCATGTCTGCACCAACGGAGCAGCGAACACCTGCGCAGGCTGCCGCCCAAACCCGACAGAATTCGTACCAGTGCCGGTTTTGTTCCTCCAGGCGCCGCCGAGAGCGGCGGCGGCGGCGGCGAGCCCGGCGGCCGCGCCTGGACGGTCGACGAGGACCCAGACATTACATGCCTCTGTCTTGGCATCGCTCGGACGTGTGCATTTTTCCTTCGGCGAGGACCGTCGAGGAGCATCCTTGATCATTTGGCGAAAAAAACACGCACGAAACCGAAAAAAGCACAGGGAACGGACGTCCGAGCGATGGCCTCTGTTTCTTCACTAATCACGCGGCCCTCGGAAGCCCCGGCCCGTTGCTCCAAGAACAGAGGATACGGAAGCACGAGCTTCGAGAGCTCCTCGCGGACTGCGTGGATCTGCGCTGGATCGATACCCCTGGCGGCGCCTCTGGCTCGGCCCCTCCAGGAGGGGAATCAGCGCCGATACAAGAAGCACTCGTGGACCTCCGCCTCCTCCTCCTCCTCCTCCTCCTCCTCTTTCTTCTCCTCCTTCTCGTGGAACTTCACAAGGTAAAATGTCAGGTGTCTGCCGTCTTCTCTTCCTCTAGCTCCCCGGGGCAAGTTTTGCATCCCGAGCCTTTATTTGACGGTCCCGGGGCCCAGCGAGGCCGAAAACGGCGAACATTGTCTTCCTTGATGTTGTTCTACATTGGACCCCTGAGATCCGACATCACGGAAAGTTGCAGCATCGTAGAAATCACGACGGGAGCCCTACACCATGTCGCTCTGCGTCATTTCTCGAGCCAGATGGATCTCTGAGGATCCCACGGCCCGAAACAGGCCAGAATGGCCTTCGTCGAAAAAGTGCAACGGCCGGATCTCAGGGATGTCTGAGGACACGGGCCTCGTCGTGCCAGCGAAGCCGCCAGCGGAGCCGCCAGCGCCAGCGCCGACGGAGCCAGCGGAGGCGGACATGCGGCCGTGCGGCGCGCCCGCGCCCGCGCCGACCTCGGCGCAGGAAGCGGGGGGCGCCGAGCCAGGCCCGGCCGGCGTCTCGATGCCCTTCTTCGCCCCCGGGCAGTTCCCGGCGATCGGAAAAGATAGAATTTCACATCGGTCGTCGAAGGCATGGCCCCCAGATCCAAATCCGCGGCATACGACTTCCTACGTCCATCGTCGATCAGTTGTCCCTTTTCCCTCCTCTTCGGGTGGCGGGCGGAGATGCAATCTGCTTTCAACGCCTTCCCACTACTTCATGTTTCTACCCACTTTCTTCCGACCGATGAGTGCATGAACGGAAAAATTATCGGAGTTCCGCGCGAATTTCTTGGATCGGCGCTGGGGTCCCCCTGGCAGCGCCTCCGGCGCCGCACCTGGCGCGCTCCGCGCGCCAGGGAGGGGGTTCCAGCGCCGATCCAAGAAGTCCGCGCGGGCCTCCCACAGTTTTTGTGTTTATGTAGTTGTTTTTCCTCCAGGCGATGAACGTCTGGACGCTGAGGCGCAGGGAGGAGCCCGGCCTCAGCCAAACAGGGCCTCCGATCCCAGATGAGGGCGTCAGCGACATCGGTCGTTGACGATGACTACGTTTCGGAGGATGGCCACTCGAGACATCGGCGGCACTCCCGCCTGCCCCAAGTCCGTCCCCGGCGCCCCAGGATCCCGACCCGTCCCAGACGTGTTCGCGTCGTGAAGAGAATCACCACGGTCGGTTTTGGATCATTTTCGGCCTCTGAAGGGTCCCAGGACTGTAAAAAATCGCTTCGGGATGAGAGACGGGTCTTGGGGGAAAGGGTCGGGACCAGCGCTGGGCGAAAACGTTGTTTCACATTGGCAGACGAGTGGACGGGCCAAGCGTTTCGTTTTGCGTTGTTTATCATTTTTCGACTCATGCCGCGCGTTTTCCGCGCGCCCGTTGGTTGCACCGTCTTGTTTTCGCTTTGTGTTGAGTGGAAATCCTCGGGTTCGGCTCTGCAGAGACCAAGGAAGTTTGACGTTGCCTCCTTCGGGCTGAAGGGAAGGCCATGGCAAAAATCCTTCGGTTTGGCTCGGCACATCCCAAGGATCCCTTGGGTTGAAAAGAAGGCAATGCCAACAATCATCGGCTTTGGCCCTGCAGAACCCACGGGATGTTGACATGTCCTCCTTTGGGTTGAAGGGAAACCATGTGAAATTATCCTGGCAAAGCAACCTAACAGCGATGTGTAAGAGCATATCTGGAAGCATTCACTCTAAGATTCAGATGAGAATCCAGTTGTAGAATTATGTCGTTCTCGCAGTCGTAGTCGCATTCGCGATGACAGTCGCAGTGGCGACGGCAGTCGCAGTCACAGCCTCAGCCTCAGCCTGCCTCAGCCTCAGCCTCACCTGCCTCAGCCTCAGCCTGCCTCAGCCTCAGCCTGCTTCAGCCTCAGCCTCAGCCTGCTTCAGCCTCAGCATCAGTCTGCCTTCAGCCTCGGCCTCAACCTCAGCCTGCCTCAGCCTCAGCCTCAGCCTGCTTCAGCCTCAGCCTCAGCCTGCTTCAGCCTCAGCATCAGTCTGCCTCAGCCTCGGCCTCAGCCTCAGCCTGCCTCAGCCTCAGCCTGCATCAGCCTCAGCCTCAGCCTCAGCCTGCCTCAGCCTTAGCCTGCCTCAGCCTCAGCCTCAGCCTGCCTCAGCCTCAGCCTCAGCCTGCTTCAGTTTCAGCCTCAATCTGCCTTCAGCCTCGGCCTCAGCCTCAGCCTGCCTCAGCCTCAGCCTGCATCAGCCTCAGCCTCAGCCTCAGCCTGCCTCAGCATCAGCCTGCCTCAGCCTCAGCCTCAGCCTGCCTCAGCCTCAGCCTCAGCCTGCTTCAGCCTCAGCCTCAGTCTGCCTTCAGCCTCGGCCTCAGCCTCAGCCTGCCTCAGCCTCAGCCTGCATCAGCCTCAGCCTCAGCCTCAGCCTGCCTCAGCATCAGCCTGCCTCAGCCTCAGCCTCAGCCTGCCTCAGCCTCAGCCTCAGCCTGCTTCAGCCTCAGCCTCAGTCTGCCTTCAGCCTCGGCCTCAGCCTCAGCCTGCCTCAGCCTCAGCCTGCATCAGCCTCAGCCTCAGCCTCAGCCTGCCTCAGCATCAGCCTGCCTCAGCCTCAGCCTCAGCCTGCCTCAGCCTCAGCCTCAGCCTGCTTCAGCCTCAGCCTCAGTCTGCCTTCAGCCTCGGCCTCAGCCTCAGCCTGCCTCAGCCTCAGCCTCAGCCTCAGCCTGCATCAGCCTCAGCCTCAGCCTCAGCCTGCCTCAGCATCAGCCTGCCTCAGCCTCAGCCTCAGCCTCAGCCTCAGCCTCAGCCTGCTTCAGCCTCAGCCTCAGTCTGCCTCAGCCTCGGCCTCAGCCTCAGCCTGCCTCAGCCTCAGCCTGCATCAGCCTCAGCCTCAGCCTCAGCCTGCCTCAGCATCAGCCTGCCTCAGCCTCAGCCTCAGCCTGCCTCAGCCTCAGCCTCAGCCTGCTTCAGCCTCAGCCTCAGTCTGCCTTCAGCCTCGGCCTCAGCCTCAGCCTGCCTCAGCCTCAGCCTGCCTCAGCCTCAGCATCAGCCTGCCTCAGCATTCAAAATGTGGCCCGGGAATGGAGTTCTGGGAACTCGAAGAACACGAAGTGGCCTACAGTTGGCTCCGGGCATTCAAAATCATGCCCAGGAATGGAGTTTTGGGAACTCGAAGACTACGAAGTGGCCTACAGTTGGCTCCGGGCATTCAAAATCATGCCCAGGCATGGAATTCTGGGAACTCGAAGACCACGAAGTGGTCTACAGTTGGCTCCGGGCATTCAGAATCATGCCCAGGAATGGGGTTCTGGGAACTCGAAGAACACGAAGTGGCCTACAGTTGGCCCTGGGCATTCAAAATCATGCCCATGAATGGAGTTCTGGGAACTCGAAGACCACGAAGTGCGTTACTGTTGGCTAAAGAAGGAGTCCCCGGATTCCCGGGGCACCCGTCCGGCATCTGCCCAGACCCCCTTGGGAAGTCAAGATGTTTTCTTTTGACCCCACTAGAAACCTATCAGTCTTCGCTGTTAGGTATCGCGTATCCCAAAGAATTTTGGCATGGCCTCCTTTAGGCCGAAGGGAAGGCCATGCCAAACATCCTTAGGTTTTGGCTTTACAAAACCCAAGAATGGTGACATGGCTTTCCTTGGGCGGAAGGGAAGCCCATGCCAACAATATATAGGTTTGGGAATTTGGCATGGCCTCCTCTGGGTTGAAGGGAAGGCAGTGTCAAAAATCCTTAGGTATGGCCCCGCAGAACTTAAGGAATTTTGACATAGCCTCCTCTGGGCTGAAGGGAAAGCCAATTAAAAATCTGTGGGTATGCTTTTGCAGAACCCAAGAAATTTTGATATGGCCCCCTTTTTGGGCTGAAGGGAAGGTCATGCCAAACATCCTTAGGTTTGGCGCTGCAGAACCCAGGGAAATTGGACATGGCACATTTTGGGCTGAAGGGAACGCCATGTCAAAAATGTTTGGGCGTGGCTCTGCAAGACCCAAGGAATTTGGGCATGGCCTCCTCTGGGCGGAAGGCAAGGCCATGCCAAAAATCTGTAGGTTTGGTCCTGCAGAGGCCAAGGAATTTTGACATGGCTTCTTTTGGGCTGAAGGGAAGGCCATGTCAAACATTTGTGGGCTTCGCGTTGCAGAACCCAAGGAATTCTGGCATCTCCTCATTTGAGGTGAAGGGAGGGCCATGCCAAAAATCCTTAGGTTGGGCCTTGCAGATCCCAAGGAATCGTGGCATGAACTCCTTTAGGCTGAAGGGAAGGCCATGTCAAAAATCTCGGCGTTTGGCCTTGCAGAACCCAAGGAATTGTGATATGCCCTCCATGTCAAAACTCCTTGGGTCTGGCTTTACAAGAGCCAACCAGTTTGACATGGCCTCCTTGGGGCTGAAGGGAAGGCCATGCCAAAAATCCTTGGTCGTTACCCTACAGAACCCAAGGAATTTTGACATGGTCCCCGTTGCAATAACGGGAACGCCATGTCCAAAGTCCTTAGGTCTGGCTCTGCGAAACCTAAGGAATTGTGGCATGAGTTTCCTTGGGCTGAAGGGAAGGCCACGTCAAACATCCTCAGGTTCGGCCCTGCAGAACCCAAGGAATTTTGACATGGCCTCCCCTGGGCTGGAGGGGAGGCAACGTCAAACAGCCTTAGGTTTGGCCCTGCAGAAGCCAAGGAATCTTGGCATGGCCCCCTTTGGGCTGAAGGGAAGGCCATGTCAAAAATCCTTAGGTTTGGACCTGCAGAGCCCAAGGAAGTTTGACATGTCCCTCTTTGGGCTGAAAGGAAGGCCATGCCAACAATCGGTGGGCTTGGCTCCGCAAAACCCAAGGAAGTTTAGAATCCTTAGGTTCGGCTCTGCAGAACCTCTGGCGCCAAGGAAGCGCCGAGCCTCGAGCATCGGCCCCCCACCTGCGCCCGCCCAGCGCCCCCCTGCGGTGTCGGGGAAGTGCCACGCCTGCCACGCTCTCGGAACTCGGAACGGATAGGGAGCTTAGCTGCCTCGATGCGCCCGTCTTGATACGCAACACGTGCCGTGTTCAAAACGTCCGTGTCGATACGTTGCGTGCTGGCTCCACGTATTGGCCCAGGTTTTGGCGAACGTATCGCGCCGGACCTACGTTTTCAGTCCACGTGTTGAGCTCCGTATCAATACGCTACGTGTCGCGTATTGCGCATCGGGGCAGCTAAGACAGGGAGACCAGCCCAAGCGCACCCCCCCGTGGACAATAGGAAATGCCACGCCTGCCACGTCGTGCAAGCCCGAAGCGGATAGTGAGACCACCCCCAGCGCATCTCTTGTGGTGTCGAGGAAGTGCCACGCTTGCCACGCCTTGCGAGCCTAGGGAAACCACCCCCAGCGCACGCCCTGTGGTGTCGAGGAAGTGCCAAGCCTGCCACGCTTCGCGAGCCCGAAACGGATAGGGAGACCAGCCCCAGCGAGCCACCGGTGGTGTCGAGGAAGTGCCACTTTCGCCACGCTCTGCGAGCCCGAAGCGGATAGGGAGACCACCCCGGACGTTTTCCCTGTGGTGTCGAGGAAGTGCCACACTTGCCACGCTTTGCGAGCCCGAAACTGATAGGGTAACCATCCCCAGCGCACTCATTGTGGTGTCGAGGAAGTGCCACGCTTGCCACGCTTTGCGAGCCCGAAACGGAGAACATCATCGAACGCCCGTGCCTCAAACGCGTGTCTCAATGTGTGTGCAGTATGCGTCGCGATTGTAGATGTGTGTGCTGCGTGTATGTGTGTTGCGTGCGCGCGCGTGTCTCATGTGGATGCCCAGCATGTGGTGCACACGTTTTGTGTGATGCGTGGATGCTGTATCTGGATGTGTGTCTCATGTGTGTGCCCAGTATGTGGGAGGAGGGAGGAGGGAGGAAGGGGTGTGCGAGCGAGACGGGGATGGAAGAGGATGAGGAGGAGAAACGCGGGTGAGACGCGGTTGTCTCATGTGTGTGTGTCCAGTATGTGGGAGGAGGGAGGAGAGAGGGAGTGGTGTGCGAGCGAGACGGGGATGGAAGAGGATGAGGAGAAACCCGGGTGAGACGCGGTTGGGAAGATAACGAGAATTCCACGAAACATGTGAGGAAAAACGCTCAAACGCTAGAGTTCGTCAGAATTGCCTTCAAAGCCAGAACTTCTCGAACCTTCAGACCTGGGAAGCCAGAGCCACTCGGACCTTCCGGAAACGCCCCAAAACGCCCAGACCTTCTGACTTCGATGATGCCAGGGCTCGTTGCGTGCGGCCCAGGTCGGGAGCGCACGAAGGACGTAAACGTACATGAGTCCGCGTTGGTTGCGAGAGAACACATTGCGAGAACGCCCGTATCACGAGGCTGGTCTCGCGGATTGGGGGGCGAGTTCATTCGGCGAGCGAGCGAGCGAAGGGCGGAAGTGAGAAGGAGAAGGCCCTCTCAGAAGGCGGCGGGCCTTCTCAGAAGCCCTCGCGCCTTCTGAGAAGGTGTCTGCGTTTTCGGAGAAGGCTTGAGAAACTGTTCAGAAGGTCAGGGAACTTCCGAGCCTTCCAAGCAAGCCCGCCCCTTCCCTTCTCTCCCCGGGCTCGTCGGCGATTCGTGCACGTGGTCGGGCGCGTACGTCCTCCCTGCAGGAGCAGCCCGACATGCTGGCACCCGCCGGCCGGAGCACCTCCTCCTCCTCCTCCTCCTCCTCCTCCTCGGCGCCGCCGCCACAGCGGCTGCTCCGCCAGCCGCCGCGGCCCAGCGCCGGCGCGCCCGCCCGCGGCCTCGCCGCCCTGGAGGCACGGGGTCGGTCGAGAACAGCCGGGGCCCCAGACCCCCTCGAGTCGTGTCGGGGGTGGACAGAACCCCCAACAGTGACACGTCGATTAGTGAATTGTCCGTTTTCGGTTCTCGAGAGGGCGCCGTGGCCGCCATTTTCCAGGCTTGCGCCCGCCAGGTTTGGACCTCAGGTCGTTTTCACTAAACCGCGTTTTACTAAAGGGGGGTCTGTCCATCCCCGATCGTGAACAAAATCACGACGGAAGGTTCTTCGCTACTTGGCATCGCTCGGACGTGTGCCTTTTTCCTTCGGCGAGGACCATCGAGGAGCATCCTTGATCATTTGATGAAAAAGCCGCGCACGAAATCGAAAAGAGCACCACAGGGAATGGACGTCCGAGCGATGGCCAGGCTATGTTCGGCCTCCTGGCGCCTTGCCCAGCCCTCGGGGCCGTCCAAAGACGACTCGGGACGCAACGCCGGTCAGCGGAATGGGTCGATGCCTCTGGGGGGTCATCGGGGGTCTGGGACGTCCGACGATGCGGTGTTCGGCGACTGCAATATTCGGAGGTGGACAGACCTCCTAACAGTGACACGTCGATTAGTGAAGTGTCCGTTTTCGGTTCTTGAGAGGGCGCCGCGGCCGTTATTTTTTCCAGGCTTGCGCCCGCCAGGTTTGGGGCCCGGTCGTTTTCACTAAACCACGTTTTACTAAAGGGAGGTCTGTCCATCCCCGAAGTATAGCCTCAAGCGCCGGGGATCAATGCAAAAGGGAGTCAGTCAGCCAGAGCGCGGGCTGGCGCGCAAAATCCTGCAGGATCTTGCAAAAAATTCTGCAAAGCCTGACTTGCCCGGGGTTTGAATTGACCCAGGTCAGTGCGTCCCCGAATTTTCGGCGACGACAAATGGTAGGATAGGGAAAGGGGGATTTGCGAAATTTGTTGCATGCAGCTGATTTCCATCGCCGCCAGGCCCATTCCGCCCATTCCTCGATACATGGGCGCCTCCCGGACGGAAAACCAGCTACGTAAGCTGATTCCCGACCCTTCCCTTTGCTACCCTACCCTTTCGCCCCCCCCCGAGGCAGGACATCCGACGAGACGACTCGTGATGTTCCCCGGCGAGTTTCTTCGATTTTCGAGAGGTCGGCGACTACAAAGGGTGAAATTATGCCGGGGTGTGGTTTGCAATCAGCGCCGTTGGGGCCTGGGGGGCAGGACGCCGTCCTCGTTGGGCCTCCTTGGGGCGCGGCGGAGAGCCCTGTCGAGGTCCTCGCCCACCTCCCAGGGTGCCCCCCTGGGATGCGGGTTGTAAATCGCACCCTTTGCAAACCACATTTTTCGGAGTCGCCGAGACTTGTGATGTTCCCCGCCGTCGTTCTTCGGTTTTCGAGAAAGGATCGGAGAAAGGCGACGACACGTGTCGACTTGTCAGAACTAGATCATGGGCTGGCAACGGCGACGCCCATACCCATGCGACCCCATAGGTTGCCCGTGAGGGGCTATGGTCGTGGCGGGTGGGGGGCCCCACTCGAACAGGAACCCTTGAGGCTAGGGCCGGTCGGAAAAAGAGCCTGGACATCCGACGACGCGACTGGTGATAGCCCCAGCGTTGTTCCTCGACTTCGAAGAGGAATAAGGGAAACGTAAGATTCGAGTTCGCCAGAACTCGGGTTTGAACTCAGGTTTGCTGGCGTTTTTTGACAGGCCCGTTCTGAATTCGTCCAGTTTTAGTGGGATGCTTGCAGCGGGAGCTCGCGTCAAACTTCAGACTGGGTCTCGCCATTTTCTGACGACTTTGTCAGGCCAACTCGAGTCCCAGAACCAAGTCTCCCATGTCTTCCCGACAGGAGCAGAAGATGAAGAAGAAGGAATTGCATAAGCATATTAAGTCTCGGAGGTCTGCGCGGATTTATTGGATCTGCGATGGCCCCCTTGGCACTTATTGGATCTGCGATGGGCCCCCCTGGCGGCGCCTCCGGCGCCCCCCCTGGCGCGCCCCGCGCGCCAGGGAAGATGGGGGCCCAGCGCCGATCCAGGAAATCCGCGCGGGGTTCCGAAAGCCCATGCTTCTGGATGTATTTCCTTCTCTTGGCATCGCTCGGGCGCGTGCGTTTTTTTCAGCAAGGACCATCGGGGAGCATCCTGGTTCAGCTCGCGACGAAAACGAAAAGTGTGTTCTCTACCCCTCGTGCTTGGCGCCTGCTTTTTTTGACGGTATCCCCCCCAGGGTTCCGGGTCCGTCTGGACCTTTCCCTCTTCTGCCCTACCTCTTCCCCTCCTCCTGCCTGTGTTGCTGCAGGGAGGGGAGCGCCGCAGCATGTGTGGTTCGGGCGATAGGCAAAAAGGGAGGTGCCCCTGATTCGTCGTCGAGTCGTATTGTGCAAAATGTACATATACGCATATTCGGGGCGGTTTCGTGAGTCACGGCAGGACGCAAGCTCGAAGAACTGACGGGAACTTGGCCGCCTTCACAGGCGAGCCAGGGCCCTCGACCGGTTTGGTTTTTACCAAAAGTTTGGCCCATAGGCCATCCCAGCCCTAAACATGGGTTATCGGCCGACAGGCTCGCTCGCGCGGGGGGGGTACTTCGGATTCGCCGGTCGCGAATCTCGAAGCCATAATCCCTGACATCTCGTTCGAGTTTGATGTGGCTGCTGACGGCCACGCTCTGACATGCGAACGGCCAGCTGTCGCCGCCACGGCTGGGACGGAGCGAAAGACTGGAAATGGACGTGCAATTCCTATAGGGTGTAACGTCGATACGCCGACGCCCGCAAGTGCCTCGCATAGCGGGGCCATCGCGGCGGGGAAACCAGACGCCGCGGGCGTTGCGGCGGGGAAACCTGACGCAGCGGGCGCTGCGGCGGGGAAGCCTGACGCCACGGGCGTGGCGGCGTGGAAACCTGACGCTGAAGTGAATACGTCGGGGAAACCGGGTGCTATGGGAAGGCTCCCATTGGGGGTGTTCGCATGCGGGTCCCCCACCCAGGAAAGCATCTCGTGGCCCCATAGGGAGCTTCACCGAAGGCCCCAGTGGGGGTGTTCGCATGCGGGTCCCCCACCCTGGACAGCGTTTCGTGGCCCCATAGGGAGCTCCACCGAAGGCCCCAGTGGCGCAGTTCTCATGCGGTTCTCCCACCCAGGACAGCGTTTCGTGGCTCCATCGGGAGCTTCACCGAAGGCCTTGGTGGGGGTTTTCGCGCGCGTTTTCCCCACCCAGGACAGCGTTTCGTGGCTCCATCGGGAGCTTCACCGAAGGCCCTATTGGGGGTGTTCGCACGCGTCTTCCCCACCCAGGACATCGCCTCGTGGTCCCATAGAGGGCTCCACCGAAGGCCCCCAGGAACGTTTTGTGGTCCCACAGGGAGCTCCATCGAAGGCCCCAGTGGCTGCGCCCGCATGCGGGGCGCGTGTGGGGCCCGCAGCTTCATGTTCGAAACCAAAAGAATATTCAGTTCTCGTAGCTGTCGTCAATGTTGTGCTCTTCGGAGGGCGACTCGCGCGACCCATGATGTGAGGAGGAGGAACACGAATTGAGCAGGACGACGGCGGCCGGGCGCAGGGGGAAACCCTTGCGTCCGGGCCGGGGGTGGTAACCCATCCTCGGCCGAATCGGGTGCAGGGGAAACCCTTCGTATCCGGGCCGGCGGTGGTAACCCATCGTCAGCCGATTCGGGGTCAGGGGGAAGCCCTTGTCTCCGGGCTGGCGGTGGTAACCCATCGTCAGCCGAATCGGGCGCAGGGGGAAACCCTTGCGTCCGGGACGGGGGTGGCAACCCATCGTCAGCCGAATCAGGCGCAGGGGGAAACCTTTGCGTCCGGGCCGGGGGTGGTAACCCATCCTCGGCTGAATCGGGGGCAGGGGGAAACCCTTGTCTCCGGGCTGGCGGTGGTAACCCATCGTCGGCCGAATCGGGCGCAGGGGGAATCCCTTGCGTCCGGGCTGGCGGTGGTAACCATCGTCGGCCGAATCGGGCGCAGGGGGAAACCCTTGCGTCCGGGGCGCGGGTGGTAACCCATCCGCGCCTGAAACCAATCCCTCAACAACAAGTGCTTTGCGTTCTGTGGGAAGGGGGGCCACTAACGCATTTTTCCCCAACCATCCTGTGGTGTTGGGTCCTCGTTTTGAAGAGACAGCGCCCCGCGTCCCACCTCCTTCCTCCTTCCTCCTTCTCTCCTCCTTCTCCCTCCCCCATCCTTGCCTTTGCTTTCCGCTTGTGTCAGCTCACCCCCTCCCATCATCATCATCAGCATCATCATCATCGTCATCATCAGCATCAGCATCATCACCATCATCATCACCAGCATCACCGTCATCATCGGCATCGCCATGGCTGATGCGTCTCGTGGCCCCATAGGGAGCTCCACCGAAGGCCCCACTGGGGGGGGGGCACATGCGCCCCCCACGCCCAGGACAGCGCTTCGTGGCTCCATAGGGAGCTCCACCGAAGGCCCCAGTGGGGGGGGAAGGGGGGGGGGCACATGCGTCCCCCTCGCCCAGGACAGCGCTTCGTGGCCCCATAGGGAGCTCCACCGAAGGCCCAAGTGGGAAGGGAAGGGGGGGGGGGGGGGCACGTGCGGCTCCCACGCCCAGGACAGCGCTTCGTGGCCCCATAGGGAACTCCTCCGAAGGCCCCAGTGGGGGGGGCACATGCGGCTCCCACGTCCAGGACAGCGTTTCGTGGCCCCACCAGTGGGGGGGGCATGCGTCCCCCACGCCCAGGACAGCGCTTCGTGACCCCCCAGGGAATTCCACCGAAAGCCCCAGTGGAAGGGGGCCACATGCGGCTCCCACGTCCAGGACAGCGCTTCGTGGCCCCATAGGGAGCTCCACCGAAGGCCCCAGTGGAGGGGGGGCCACATGCGGCTCCCACGTCCAGGACAGCGCTTCGTGGCCCCATAGGGAGCTCCACCGAAGGCTCCAGAGGGGGGTGCTGCATGCGTCCCCCACACCCAGGGCAGCGCTTCGTGGCCCCATAGGGAGCTCCACCGAAGGCCCCAGTGGAAGGGGGCCACAT